ATTTATTTTGGTGAATATTTTTGTAATTTTTTGGTAAAAAGTGATATTTTCGACTTCTTGTTAAAAACTGTAAGTCTGATTGCTTTGATACTATTCATATTGTTCATTTTCTAATCATGTCTTCAGTTCTTTAATTGAAATGTGCATTGCTAACAGCGGAGCTATCTCAGCCGATAGGCTGCTTGTTCAATTTACGTTGTACGAACAAAAATATATTGCAATTACGTTGAACGAAAATAACCCTTGCCTCCCCCTCTTTATACCAAATATGGTTACTTTATTACCCAGGATGCATGGCGTATACTCCATGGACATGTATAGATGGTGCACGCCCTGTAGGAGACCAATCAGAAGAAACTACTAGCCCCATAACAAGGAACGCGTGTCAGGCAATTAACGGCTATTGTGGTGCAGGTAAGGATATGTGTTCATTTACCCACCGAACTATTTGGAATGTATTTATTCGTCTTTAATAGTACATACAACTAAAATGAGCTGCATGTGATTAAAACTAACGATATCTTACAGGGGTATACTCCTACGCTGCGTGTTGCAGCGCCCCTGACCTTGAATGTGGGGTCAAGTATTCCACAAAGAGTGGTGTTGATATTGGGGACATAGCGGAAGTCTGGTGTGACGAAGGGTGGACATTAACTGGGTGTAACAGCTACACTGCATGGGTTGGTAATCATGGAGCATATATTGAGGGTAAGTCAGAGAAGCACTTTTTTGAAATTGTAAGATTTTCAACAACAAAAATCTTCATACTAAACTACATGTACTCAATTGGACTTGCCCAACTTTCTATACTCCCTCCAATAAAAATCTCAATAGACGCATCATTGACAAATGACCTGTGTACTTTCTGAATGTGCTCGTAATTTCCAGAGAGGAGACTCCTAACAATGTATATGTTTTGTTCTGTAGATGACACCTGCAAAGCTGTTAACGGTAACGGTGGTGGTACGTGGGCTGTGGCCACGTGTTGTAGAGGGCAACATCATTGATGAACCCAGTATACAATCAATCAACCTGTGTTTGCATGACAACTATTACAATACACGCTGTTCTATAAATATACGACATGTTACAAGCTAATAAATTCTTCATTTATGTCTTTATGCTAATTAGTTATTAGGTATTTTCTATTTTGAAATTAATACGATTTCTGCTTGCCAGTTCGATTTTGTGTTATATATATGTTTTGTTCTGGCTCCACTGTGTTCTAATGATCGGTTGTCCCATATGTACACTGCCACCGTGTCAATATTCTGGTATTTGTTCAAAAAACTTGAAACACAATTGTCTCAGATTCAGAATTTTATCTGGTTAATCTTCCCCTGAAGTTAGGTTTCTGGCTGATGGCAGATTGAAATGTACATAATTATATTTAATTAGTTGTATAATTCCTGGGAAACCAAAAGGTTTCTTTAATGAACGTGAAATGCATGTATGTAATTTGATGTCTCGTATCATATAAAGAGTTTATTAACATTTATTATACCAATTTTGGTCATGTGATCATTTGTTCTTGCTGCACATTTATTTAATGTAAATACTTGAAAGTGTGGGTTATTGAATATAAAAATGTAGCGTTATATATAACCAACACTTTCAAAAAATAATACTAGTATACGAGAGGCGTTCAATAAGTAATGCTCCTGACCCATTTCCGATAGCAGGAGATTAAAGTAAATTGGTACAGTTATTAGTCTTTCTCTACATAAGAACCACCCAGAGTTATGCATTTCTCCCATCGTTTGATGCAGCTTTAGACACCGTTTTGTAGAACACCCCTGGTTGGTCCTCCAACCACGTCATAACTTCAGAAATCAAGGCTGCATCATCTGGGAAACGCTTTCCTCTCATGGCTGGGAAGAGATGAAATTCAGAGGGTGCAAGGTCAGGAGAGTGAGGGGGATGGGTGGGGAGTTCATCGCCACACGCCTGTGCTTCTGATCTGGCAACATGCGAGTTGTGGACCAGAGCGTTATCATGGGGAAAATTTTCTCCTATGGGGTTCCCAAACACGTGTCAGGGGGAATACTCGTCTTCTCTCTATACACGTCCCCTTGAGGTACGGTATCGGAAAAGTCACACAGCGCCCTGGGGAAAAGTCACCAAGACTATCGCCAATCACACTAAGTACTGGACACGTCATAAATTTTGATTTATAGTTCACTATATTACTAACTGCGAATACCAACTGTCAGAAATAGCGGTCCGAATGGCAACGGTTATATCGTAATTAGTTCCAAATCACTGAGTCAAGTTCCGTCCAGGACCCCGCATGAACTTAAATGATGACAGATCTAACACAGCCATTCACTAGTAATCAGCTAAATAAGTCGATTAACAAATACATGCAAACAAATTCATGACACATCTCTTCACCCAAACTGAGCTATGCCTCCTGGCATAACACGTTCATAAATCAAGGATACCGTCATCTACTCATCGTCATACAGGTTAAATACAATACTAATCAAAAGAGTAAAACACACTGATTAAATACACTGATTATAATTCTAAATACAATGGTTATAAAGTCACAAATATCAACGGTTATAAGTCTAAATATCCTACTCTTCCAGGAAGGGGCTCAAACCGTACCGTTTTCCTCAAAACAGTCCGCCGACATAAGCCCTTCGCTGCACTGTCTCCCGTTACTAAGGTTACAAACTCTATATCAAAAGGTAAAAAAAACTAAGGCGTGGCGGTGTAACCAAGCGACCAGCCAATCGCTGCAGTCGACAGCATGATGATGTAATTACCAGGGATGCGTCTCTCGGTTAAAGCATTGCAACTACTACTAATCAATGAATAAACAATCTATTAATCAAACTTCTGTCCTATACGCTTATACTTATAAACTTCAACTGAACTCACAAGTCGTTAATCTAAACAAAAGTCATACGGCGTGGAAACGGAATTCAAAAACAAAGTCGTTATCATAACACATTACTCCTCTGGCAAAAACGACGGGAAAAGGCTAAAACGATAGACACTACTAAGTTACATATAATCTTGTCAATCATGAGCAAAAGCTTGCGTTATCAAACAATACATACATAGGCGCACCACAATCTCATTTCAAAAAGACATAAAAAAACGTTCCAAAATGCTCTCAACTCAAATCAACTCACAAAAAGTGTCCAAAAGTATTCCGAAAACAACACGTAAACTTCAATAATTCTCAAAACGTCGGTATCTCTGTACATCGACAACTACTAAAACTCTGAAAACTCTTTGGGGCATTACTCTCCCCATCATATTCCTTACTCTTAAACTCAGTAAAACACCATAAAACTTCATAAAACTCATAACACTGTGTTGCAAATACTTGTCCACTGAAACATGCTTAAATCAATATAAAGGACCTCGCACATCACTAAATATCAGTTCAAAACAAAGATCTGGGCGCTCACATACATACAATTCAATATAAAAAAAAGCAAGCAATACGTTACATACTGAACAATAGTGTTGAGATTCTGAAAAAGAGTTCAATGTCTTTGAGTTACAGTGTCCATTACGGTTCTCTACACAATACACAAATAGCTAAAGTTCTAATCACAGTCTCTATAGCGTCTTCTCCTCTTTCATTGCGTTAGTCCGGGTCGTTATTTCATCATCTTGTCTTTAATGTTGCTCAAGTCACCTTGATTATACAGTTCTAATCGATACTTGTCCTTCCTAAGGGGCTCCGAAGTCTTCATCTCTTCAGCGTTGTTCATCGGCGTGATTCGGGTAATGTCGTTAGTCATCAAACGCAGTCGTCAAACGGGATCGGAAAAGTCACTTAAACCTTACAGTCAAATAGACGCACACAACAAAATACATTTCAACTCTCGTCAGTCGAGTACCATGTGAGACACAGCGCCCTGGGAAAAAGTCCCCAAGACTATCGCAAGGCTGACCCAAGACTCTGTCCCTAGACTGCGTCTCTCTTGTTTATTCATTTATTAAGACGTGGCCTTCAATCATACAGCCAATCACACTAAGTACTGGACACGTCATAACTTTTGATTAATCGTTCACTATATTACTAACTGCGAATACCAACTGTCAGAAATAGAGGTCTAACACAGCCATACACTAGTACGCAACAGATACGCGAAAACAAATTCATGACAGCGTTGTCCTGCAGGAGGAGGATATATTTGCTGATCTTGCCCGTCTCTTGATTTTGATAGCTCCTCTTAATTTCATCAAAAGTGAAGTGTAATAGGCTCCTGTAATGTGGTACACTTTGCCAGGAAATCTGTCATCACTACTCCGTCTTGGTCCCAGAAAACTGTGCATGATCTTGCCAGCAGAGGGCTGCACCCTTGCCTTATTTGGAGGTGGTGAGTCCAAGTGCTTCCTTCCACTGCATTGACTGGGCTTTGGTCTCTGGATCATAGTGATGTACCCAAGTTTCATCCTGTGTAATCAGTCTTTTGAAAAACTTTGACTTATCTTCTTGGCACATCTCCAAATTCATCCTTGAGCACTCGACGCGTTCTTGCTTCTGGAAAGGTGTGAGCAGCCCGGGAATTCATTTGGTAGACACCTTATGCATATGCAAATGATCATGAATGATAGTTTTCACAGACCCTGTACTGACCTCTTGGGCTATTTGGGAAACGGTAATGCATCGATCTTCCAAAATGACTGCATCAACTTGACGGACAGATCAGGTCTGGGAGTTGTTTCCGGCCATGTTTGAATTCACGATGCCAGCATTTTACAAGATCATAGGATGGGGTATCATCACCATAAGTTTCTTTCATTTCATCAAAAGTTGGTGTGCGTCCTTTCAAATACCAATAGATCAGAGCTGTTTTTGCGACATAACCCATAGAGATGTTAATCATTACACATGCAAAATTGTATCTAGATCAGACAACTGGAAGTGGGTCAGGGGCATTCTTATTGAACGCCCATCATATTTGAAAAATTCAGCGATGACCTACCTTGCCAGTGCACAACGTGAGCATGTGTTTATTATAATTAGTTTGCGTAAATACATGTACAAAAGTTGTATTGTCCGCTTTGTCATTTGTTCATGAATAAATCAAAGTACAACTTGATATTGAAATGAAGCTTCTAATACCTGTTTTTCCCAATTTTCTTCATCAGAAATCGGCTCTACCTACCCTGGTTTATGTTGTGTGTTCAAACACAACATAAACCATGATCTCTCTCTCTCTTCAAAGCCAGTGGCCTTGCATCTTGACTAAGGCTGCACAGACTTAGTCAAGGTATCATGTCCAATTTACAATAGCGGTTTACAAACTACGTTACAATTATGTAGCTAAGACAATGCTGGTTCACAAAATATGCCACAGTTATCTGTAGCATTTACACTCAGCATATGAATACAACTGTGGTCGGTTTACAAACTGCATAAAGACAAACGGTTTATAGAAATAAATCAATGCAGTTTTATAATGTCACGACCATCTTTTGCATGGCTTTGGTATTATTTCAATGTGAATTGGGAGCTATTATCACTGCTAATGCAACTGGTTAGGCCTTTCTCTTCGAACAGGTTTCTTGTAGCGTACTGTGTTCGCACGCAAGTTTTTCAGATTTCTCATTAATAGAAATTTAAAGTAGTAATCTGAAATGATGATGATGTATCATGTACATGCTTCATTAGTGTAGAATATATCAGCCGCTTCAGTGTAATTAAAATAGGCCTGTAGGCCTGACGCTCATCGGTAATTATAATATTAGCCTGTATGTGTTAAATGTTGTAGCTGACATTAGAAAATTTCACAACAAATTGGTACTGTTTTAAGTATGCAATGTATAGTTACGCAATACCGTATGTGAGAGGTCACTGTATGAATTGTCTACTCCTTGTTCATGTACATTCTTTTTGTGTTTTTGTCACACAGAGAACCAGCCCAGATATAGACCTGCCATATATAAAGTTCAAAAGTTTTGAACAAAAAATACATAGAACAAAATAAATCACTAACAACAAAAAATTGAAGATAATACCACAACATCTACAAGACACAGTATTAGCCAATGTACATGTGTGCTAAATGTGAAGTCAGTCTGACATAAAATTACAAAAATTCATGTTTTGGCATTTCTGACCAAATTTGCAGATTTATTAGTCAATCTACACATCTTGAACAAATTACACTCTTCAACCAATAAGGAACCTTCACACCTGAAATAAAAACTAACAATCTAGCAGTTTGAAAAAAAAATCTTGAAAATACATTTCTGCCAAAAAATCAACAAAATAGAATCTAAAAAAATACTAAAATTACAAAATTAAAGATAACTCCACCATATGACAAAATCACAGAGAGGGTTGCATAAGGTAACGCTATGGTTGGCACGAAAAAAAGAATTCTCAAAAACTAATATTTGGACAAAAAGGTTAAAAAATTGATAAAAAAATCACTAAAAATATAAAATTTAAGATAATGCTACCACATCGACAGGCTACACAGAGGACCGGTCTACGTAGTTATATGCTAAATATGAGGTCAATC